AGACTCAGAGCTCCCAACACTTGCACATCCCTTACGGCAACACAGCTCAGTGAGGAAGCAGGGAGAGGAGGTCACTCACCACCACTTTTTCACACAGTTACATCATTTTACGTTATGTCCCAGAAGGGCAGCTGACTGCCGCAGCCTTGGTGCCTTACAGGCCTCGACTCTGAGACCTTCCCCCAACCCAGTGCTTCCTCCGCTCACACAACCACCTAGTCTGGTCTTTTCCAGGGTGGTGCTGGCTTCCAAGGGCCCTTGCTCACTCTTGCAGCTAAAGTATTCCAAGTACCCAACTCAAGTTTGCATCTTTGTTTAAAAATAAAAGGTTATCTTTAAGATCAAGACTTAAGATAGACAAAAGCCATAAAAATAAAAAGCTGGGCTCATTGATCAACCTCATGAAAACTTGGCCCAACTCCTGATGTATACAATAGGAGGCCCCAGCACAACAAACCAAATGCTCTTACTTCCCAAGTACACATGCTCACACAGCTTCGAAAAGCTCTTTTCTGTCCACCCACAGTCAGAAAGCATGGAGGGGCAGGGGAAGGAGTGTAGGTCAACGTGTGGAACTCTACGAATCAGGTAAATCTGAAACAGGGTTTTCTACAGGAAAAATAACCCAGAGTCTTGAAAAAAATAAAACAGCATGGGCAATTGGAGTACGGGGGCCCCAGGGAGTTACAGACTTGGGAGACAGAGAAACCATTTGTGGCATGTGGATTTCACCGGAACCACTTACCAAGATGAGTGGTGACAAAAACTGGATTGAGCTTGGACATTGGTGAATATTAAGGCATTAGTTAATTTTGTCAGGTATAATTCTGAGATTACAGAATGTTTAAGTCCTCCTGTTTGAGACTGATATTTAAGTATTTATTAAACATGTGCGAGATGTACTTTAAAATACTTCAAGGAAAATGAAAGTGGCAAGAAAAAAGAAACCAGCCCGAGAGAAAGTTGATGGTACTAAAGACCGCAGTTGATGTAATGGTCGATTTTTCTGCTGTGCGTTTGAAAATTTCTGCAATAAAAGTTTTTTTAAAAGGAAGGTCAGGTTGCAGGCATATGTACTTGAACTTTACCAAATATACTCGAGTATA